CTACAAAAGAAATATGAGCAACCACTAAACAAGGTTTGATCCAAAAAGAGACATTTGAAAGAAGTGATTTTAAATGTGTTCAAGAAAGAGGTGAAAGAAATTGAGACATCGACTGTCGACGAAGTCGTATCGAAAGTTTCTGTATCAGATCAGATCAGAATCGTCAAACCATTATAAAATCAATAGATGATGCTGATAAACATGCAAGAGAGAAAAGTGCATGAGTACTTTTTCAGGAATGAAATACCCACGATAGACAAAGTTCTCTGTTGACAAGTTTTAAGCGGTCAACATTCCATAAAGTATTGGAACATTTGAATTTTGTATGGAAAAAACGAAGGCGCAATAGTTTATTATTGGATAGAGAGAAAATTGTGTTATGGAGGAGAGAGTATTTGACCAAAATTAAATATTATAGGGAAAATCAACAAGATGTTGGTTCTGAATACGACCCTGGCCAATTCTTGGGATTTTCAATATCACGTGCGTAGGGCATGTCAATGTTTACATCCACTCTACCTTGAAATTTGAATTTGCAGTAGATCATTGAAAGAAGTAACTTTCAGACAAAAACTGAAAAAAAGTCCTTTCGAAAGAATGACTTTCATATAAACATTAAATAACACGAAAGAAAAACCTATTTCGAAACGAAAACACTTTGTAGAAAACCAAAAACTTTCTTTCACAAAAATCAACCTCTTCTGAAAATATAACTATTTCAATTCAATATGAATAGTATAGTAGTATAGTAGTTTGTACTTACATCGAGCTGATTTGAATCACCTAACCACTGATTGGATGATACTAACAGGTAGTAGTTAGATCACTAGCATAAAAAAATTAGGTCATAATGATCTCCTGAGGACGCTAACTTGGTTAGCGAAACGCGCATCGAGAGTCCGTGATTTTTGTTTTGGTGTTAAGAAAGTATTTTCAATAGATTCATTTTATACCATAGGTTCTTGTACGAACTATCAAATTCAAGTACATGCCGGAATATTCACCCAAATCACGACAATTGAACAGGGTCCATACCTGCTTCACTCTGTTATAATCCTCAACAGAAACATGTAGTTCATTCAGTTCGTCATGAAAGTCTACCTTCGATGGTATATCTGAATAATTAAGTTTATCTCTATCATATTGTGCAGACAGTCGACCGAGTCAGACGTCTTCGGAGTACCTACCGTCGGAAATAGTTTATTACAAGTACCGATGCCAGATGTGGTGAAGTGTTGAATCGCATAGTGAAAGTGAACAAACTGACAAAAGAAAAGAAAGTAAAGGATGTGTGCAAACAAGCCATAGCCTATTCACCAGAAACATTATCCATTTATGAATTTCACTAGTTCGGCCTTCCATTGTCTACTATATAAAATGATTTGAAATCCCTGAAACAAGTAAAAAAGAATAATTAAAAAAAATAGTTGAAAATAACAATTATATTAAGCAACAATAAACCTGAAATGAAATGATAGTGAAATAACCTACAAGTAAAAANAAAGTGAAAGTATTTCAACGACCTATAAAATAGTCATCTCTCGGAGGAATCAGTCCAGTCATCACCCGAAGACGATTGTAGATACCAACAATCGAAACGTCGTGAACTAACGTGACTTGGAATCTCTACACTTTTTTATTTTTTATTATTTTCTTTTTTCATTCCTTTAATTTTATTTAATTCAATTATTATATTTTTACTTGTAGGTTATTTCACTATCATTTCATTTCAGGTTTATGGTTGCTTAATATAATTGTTATTTTCAACTATTCTTTCTAATTATTCTTTTTTACTTGTTTCAGGGATTTCAAATCATTTTATATAGTAGACAATGGAAGTCCGAACTAGTGAAATTCATCACGAAACATTGTCAATCACCTTCAAACAAATTATCCATTTATATACCAAAAATATATCTAAAGGAGGCAATACACAAAAGTTACAAATACGCCAATATTCGTCTGGGCAATGGAATCAGAGTCTCTAAAAGCTATAAAGAGCTTACGTGAAGAGGTTATCAAAATAGAACACAAATCAAATATTCCATAGAAGCTAGTGAAACTAGACTATTGTTGAAAATAGAAGAGTTGAAACAAAAAGTCAACAATCTCGAAATTGAAAAACAAAAACTCACAAATGAAGTAGAAATTTTGGAGAGAAATTCTAAAAAGAAAAACATTCTAATATTTGGTTTGGACAGTTCGGAAGATATTTCAGCCACTTATGTTACCAAGAAGCTTAAAACACCGTTGAATGTTGATGTCAGCGAATCGGACCTGAATAATTCATACCGCATCTATAAATCTAAAAACTCCCGTCAGAATAGAATTTATTTCTCACTTGAAAAAGATAGAAATATTGCAATTTCTCACGACCTTACGTTTAACCAAAGATGTGAACAAAAAATTCTGAAAACGTTCTTAAATAGAGCTCGAGAAAATCCTGCAGACCAGTCATACATGAAAGGAAACATATTATATGTGAATAGTAAAGCCTACACGGTGAAAGAACTACAGAGAGTTCAAAAGAGCGGGACACAAACAGCGCACCAGCAACACCAAATATCCGAAATTCAGGAAACGAATTCTAAGTGGCGGAAGATATTGTCCTGTCCCAAAAAACTGATACAGAAAGTGAAAAAAAAACATCAGCTAATGAAACTATTTCCAAAACAAACGAAAATAAGAAGACCTCATTTGTTTCGATGAAAGTCATCGATCTAACAAGTAAATCTTATATTGTTCACTTTTTTTTTATTCACAATTTTATTAACTGAATTTCAATTCAATCAGATTTTATATAAAGTTTCTTCATCATATTGATGAGTATATCAAATTATGGATCGATATATTAGTGAATATGAACACCTACAGCTCCTTTTTCGTAGATATTGGTTGTCTAAAAGCTGTTGAACTAGTTATTTTGGGTTCGAAAGTGGAGTCATCATAACTGTTTTATATAGATCGCCGAACACATGTCCTAAACTATTCAATTTGGAATTCGTGAAATACCTTGAAAATAATATTGAAAAAAGTCATGTAATAACAGGTGACATCAATATCGATATTCTTTAGGAAACAAATTATATAGAGCAGGGGTGGGCAACCTTTGATATGTTGTGGGCCAACACACGTGTTAGGAATCACACGTTAAAAGGTAAGACCTCGTTAATCCTTAGCTCGCACAAGTTTCGACTTCTGAGGGTTGTCGTTCGTAGGGGTGCGACAGCTGGTTAACGAAAAACGCGTTTAAAAGTAGTACATTTTAAAGTAGTGTTATAGTGCTCATAATTTTTTGCGATAGATATCAGACGTGAAATAATACGACAATGTTATTATCACTTTATTAAAATAACAAAATGAAATAATAACATTATAATTAAATCGTTATATTTGGAATTGTTACAAACTACGAAAGTTAAATAGCGATACCGAAATCAATGAGACACTTGAGCTTGAACTTGGGAAACTAATCCATCGATGTTTGGATTGATTACACTGATACAAAGACGTAAAGAATTTTCCAAATCATCGTCAGTCAGCCTTGTACGATATTTCGATTTATTAACTTTCATCAGTGAAAAGAACTGTTCGCATTCATAAGTACTGCCAAACGCACAAATCAATCTTTTTGCGAATTTTCTAAGCTGCGGAAAATGGTCTTCTTCGAGGTATTTTTTGTAGAAATCACGCAACTCCACGTCCTCAAATTTAGATTTTAGGACTGAGTTTTCTTGAATCCCGATCAACTCCATTTACAAGTGTATTGGAACATTTTGTACATTACTTTTTGTTGGAGTAGCAAATAAATTGAAACAGTCTTCCATGTTCCTGAAATCGCTGAATCTGTTCGAAAATGCTCCGACAGTACCTTGAGTTCTTCAGCATATTGAGCATAAGCAATATTCTCACACGCAAAGAGCGTGGTGAAATGGTAACTGTTTCAAGACAGCATCTGTGCCTCCCACAAGCTGATTTTATTCTGAAACGCTTTCAAATGGCTGTACAAATCATTAACTAACTGTCCTTGTTTTTGAAGTTTCAAATTTAAATCATTCGAATAGCCAGTAAGGTCGACCAGAAATGCTAAGTCACATATCCATTTTGGGTCACTCAATTCAGATAGTGGTTTATCTTTTATTTGCATAAAGTCTTTTATCTCATAAGCTCGTGAAACCGTTTCAGCATTTTCCCATCTGACTGCAGAATAATATGTTACGTCGTCATATTCGGCTGATATTTCATCCAAAAACGCCTTGAAGTGATGATGATAAGGCCCTCGGGATCGAATAAAATTGATGGTTTTTACTACCACATTCATAACATTCTGGAGTCGAATGGACTTGGAACACAAGTTCTGTTGGTGGATAATGCACTGAAATCTAATGCTATCAAATCATCTTTTTGCACATTTAATTCAGTTGCTTTTCCTTTCAAAATTCCGGTGAAACTTTTACGTAAGCCGACCATAGAAGGTGCACCATCTGTGCATACTCCAACTAATTTTGGCCATGGAAAGGCAAAACTTGTAAATACCTTTTGAACTTCATTAAAAATGTCCTCTCCTGTAGTGGTTCCTTTCAGCGGCTGTAAAGCAACCAATTCCTCAGTAACAGTGAACTCTTTATCGACCCTCGAATAGATATAGCCAGTTGAGTGCATCCAACAAATCGGTGCTCTCGTCTAATGCTATGGAAAATGATTCAAAACCAATCATACGGTCAGTCAATGTTGTTTTTATATCATTAGCCATCATTTCTATACGTCGGACAACAGTTCGTCTTTGTGGTATTATGAACGCACTCTAGTAACAAGTGTCAATTGAGACAGTTGACACTTGATATAGAGAAATAAAATGGTGTACAGACCACATGTTAACTTATGTAAAAGAATTTTTAATAATAAACGGTGCTTCGTATTAGTCGGTATTTCATTGAATGAACCACGAAATATTCCAATTAGGCTAGAACCCACGGACAACACATTTGGCGACGATTACGATGGCCTTAATTGGATCTATTGAACACTTCAAAGGGGGAGCAGAGGAGTTTGAAATGTATGTCGAACGAGTCGAACATTTGTTCAAAGACAATGCTGTCGTGGACGAAATGAAAGTGTCTATGTTCATAACATTAGCAGGTCCAGTCGTGTATGGAACACTCAAAAGTTTAATTACTCCACTCACACCCAGTAATAAAACATACGAACACCTTATAGATATATTAAAGAAGCATTACCTTCCTAAAAAGTCTGAAATCAGTGAACGGTTCCGATTCAATAAGTGTAATCAGCGTCCAGACCAAACTGTAAGTGATTACATAGTTAAACTTCACAAGTTAGCAAGCACTTGTAAATTTGGTACGTTCTTAGAGGAGGCTCTGAGAGACAGGCTAGTATGTGGTTTGAAGTCAGAGATTTTGCAGATGAAGCTGTTGTCTCAAATGGGCTTGACATTTAATAATGCATGTGTTATTGCTCAGGCTAGTGAGATAGCTGAAAGAGAAGCTCGAATGCTTGCTAATAGTGAGGAAGTGCAAGATATTCATAAAGTCAGTGGTTCAAAGTCCTTCAGTCAGAAGTCAAGTCAGTCGACATATTGTCCTGAGTATGGAAATGGTCACAAACATGATGAGAGCTCACAAGGGAATGCCAAGTCAGGTCAGAATAGGAGACAAGTTTCAAAGTCGAAGTGTCATAGATGTGGTAGGTTCCACAATCCTGAAACATGTCCTGGCAGAGAGTGGTCATGTTTCCGATGTAAGAAGCAGGGACATACATGAAAAATTTGCAGACAGGGCAGCATACGCACCGTACAAGAAGAAGTCGTAGAAGTATGTCAAGAAGAGTCAGTTGCTTGTGAATTGTATCCTTTGCATAAAATAGAGTCAGTTGGTAATAATAATTTGTCTCATAACATGTGTTTAGATGTAAGTAATAAGTCAATATCATTTGAACTTGATACAGGTGTGTGCAAAACTGTTATTAATGATAATTTATTTTATGGAACGTTTCCAAATTGTAAATTGGAATCTGTAAAGTATAAGTTATCATCAGTAACTGGTCAACAGATAAAAGCCATTGGAGAATGTTCTGTAAATGTTAACAGATCTGGTCAAACATTTTGATTGCCACTAACAGTAGTTAAGTCCGTCAAAAGTTTCACACCTTTGCTGGGTAGAAATTGGTTGAATGTTAAGTTTCCTAATTGGCAGGATAATTTTCAAATGAAGTATCTCTCATTGACAAGAGATAAATATGTCAGCGACCTTAACTTCAGGTTTCAGTCAGTATTTGATGATGAATACACATGTAGGATTGTATCGTTATACAAGAATGGTTTTTGGAATGTCTAGTGCTCCATCAATTTTTCAGTCAGTCATGGATCGTATTTTAGCTGGAATACCTAATGTAAATTTCTATTTGGATGACATACTAATAGCTGGTAAGGATTTAAGTGAGTGATACTTGTCAGTTTGTCAAGTATTAGAAAGATTACAAAAATTGGGAGTCAAAGTTAATTTATCAAAATGTAAATTTTTTGAAAATTCGGTGGAATATTTAGGACATCGTATTGATAAAGAGGGAGTACAGAGGGAGTACAAGACGGATGAGAAGATGAGAGCCATACTGGAGGCTCCAGACGCTAAAGATATTACCCAGTTACGTTCTTACTTAGGTCTTCTGAATTATTATACCTATGTTATTATACCTATGTTTATACCTATGTTACCATCAAGGCTTAGACCTCTGTACAGAATGTTAGAGAAAAATATAGAGTTTAGATGGTCACAAGAATGTAAAGAAAACTTTGAACTTAGTAAACGATTAATACGTGACAACCAAGTGCTTGAGCACTATGACCCATGTAAGCAAATTGTTGTTACTTGTGATGCAAGTGCGTATGGAGTTGGTAGTATTTTAAGTCACCATATTGATGGGGTTGACAAACCGGTTTTCTTTGCTTCTTGTACACTGACGAGAGCAGAACGAAATTACTCTCAAATTGAGCTAGATCGTTGGCCATTGTTCATGGGGTCAAGCGTTTTCATAAATTCATTTATGGTCGACATTTTACTCTAGTGTCTGATCATTTACCTCTTAAAGTAATTTTCAACTCTGATAAAGGTATTTCGATGATGTCAACATCTCGGCTGCTCAGGTGGAATATTATACTGTCATCTAATGATTATACAATTGAATTCAAAAAAGTAACAGTCACCTTTACCTGATCAAACAAATGTTGAATCTTCTATAAATTCATTCAATTTAGTAGATAAGATACCCTTGTCAAATAGTGAAATTGCAAAATTCACAAAAAAAGATATTATCTTGTGTAAGATCAAAGAAAATATTTTACGTGGTTGGCCAAAAACAATTGATCCTTTATTAAAACCATATGCATTAAAAAGAAATGAATTGTCAACAGAGGGAGGCTGCATCATAGTGGGAAATAGAGTAGTTATACCAGAAATCCTGAAAGCCAAAGTTTTGGAACAGTTACATTCAAACCATTTGGGAATGGTGAAATCTAAAATGTTGGCAAGAACTGTGGTGTGGTGGCCTGGTATATAACCTGGTATATAACCCAAAACAACTTACCTGAAAAGCATTTAATATCATGGCCCAAAACGGAAAATGTATTTCAAAGAGTCCACATTGATTTTTTCCATTTCAAAGATAATACTTTCTTATTGATTGTCGACAGTAAATCCAAATGGATGGATGTTCATCTTATGCATGGAACGGGAGCAACAAAAACCATAGAGAAACTCAAACTAACGTTTTCTTTTATAGGAATCCCGCATTTGACTGTGACTGACAATGGACCTCCATTTAACTCTACTGAGTTTCAAAATTTTTGTCAAGTCAATGGCATTGACTGTTTGAAATCACCACCTTATCATGAACAGTCAAATGGATTAGCTGAGGGTTATGTAAAAATAGTGAAAAATGCCTTGTACAAGAATTGTTTAGAAAATTCGAGTTTGACTATAGAGCAACAGCTTGTAAATTTCTTGTTCTCTTTCAGAAATACACTATGTTTAACAACGTCCTTGTGTCTAAATGACATGTTATTCAAATATAAACCAAGAACTATGTTAGACATGTTGAAACCTTCAAATAATAGTTGTATAAGGTATAGAAAACTGGATAAATATGTAGCCCCTAAGAAGTTTAATGTTGGTGAAAAAGTTTTGGTAGGTGGCTTTGGCCCTACTAATGCAGTAAAGTGGAAATAAGGTATTATCTTGAAAACTATTAGTGGTGTAACTTATTTAGTTAAAGTAGGAGAGTACTTTTTAAACATGTAAATTGTATAAGAAAGAGTATGTTTAATGTGACACCAGAACCACCTAAATCATATCCACAAATTGAACCTAGATATAATCAAGATATTCCTTTAATGGTTAAAGAAAATTCAGATGATGTAGTTATTCCGGAAATTGAAAGTCCACCAGTTGAAAATTTACAAATGGAGAACCCACGAACTGTTAGTTCAGAGACAAATTACAGAAATTTAAATAATAACGGAAATGTATCTCCTACAACAGGACTTTCAGTTCCAGTTCAGTTTCAGTAATAGGGTGGTGAGACCTCCAAAGAGACTGAATCCCTGAATTTAAAGGAGGGAAATGAATGTGGTATATTGGAACGCACTCTAGTGACAAGTGTCAATTGAGCCAGTTGACACTTGATATAGAGAAATAAAATGGTGTACACATGTTCAACTTATGTAAAAGAATTTTTAATAATAAACGGTGCTTCGTATTAGTCGGTATTTCATTGAATGAACCACGAAACATTCCAATTAGATTTTCTGTTGTCGAAAATGTTTTATAATATTGAAGAATTTTATTTCAGCTAATTGGATACTTTCATTCAATAATATATTTTAATTTACTTACTCTATTTTTAAAATTATCAGTTTTAAATGTGAAATGTCTACCTATTTGTAATTTGTGACGTGTTTTATATTACTTTCACTATAATCTGTAAAACCAATGAATAATTTGAATTGAATTGAATTGAATTGAATTTAATGTAGATTGCCATGTAGGTAGCTTTGATTTTCCGTTTTGGTTTCATTTTTCCCAAAAGTTCATGATAAAATAAATGTAGTAAGAGATAAAACAAATGTAGTAAGGGCAGAAAATTACTGCATTTTATAAATTAGCTCTTTGAAAAAAAATCTAATCTATCAGTAACTTTAATTGATAACATGTTGAATATAAAAATGAATATGTATCATCTGGTGACGTTTTAAAGACTATACATTTTCTTTGAATAATCTATTTGAATCAAAACATTATAATTTGTACTTATAATTCGTTTTTTGATGTAAATCAATTTGATTTCATTAATATTATTATTGACACTAATAATATCAAATTGATTGTAGGTTTGATAACGAAGATAGATGAAGAAGTAGAAAAGTGTGACTATAGTGAGAGGACTTTAGGGTTTTGATGTTCTGGTTTTGCCAAATGAAAAATAGATTTTCGCAGTGTTCTGGCTTTCTTTATTTCTCTTAAATAGTTTTTTCTCCATACCACATGCTCTTTTCATCTTGTTTTCCAAAAGTAAAGTTCAGCTCTTGTGATCTCTTCCATAACGCAGTTCTTCTTATATCACAAAAACAACTGTCTTCAGAAATAACTGACAAAACTTCATTCAATGTAGGTATTTCTTTTCTATGTGAAAAAAGTAATCTTATCATCAATTTTTCTCCAAGGGTTTGTAATGTGAGGTTAGCTCGATTTCGGCCATATTATTTACGTGGACATATGTGAACACATACATGCATAAATATGAATAAATTCTACTCGTACATTATTGAGTATTTTTCAGAAGCCCCATTATACTCTTATTGCAGTTTCAATAATACATACATACGTGTCGAATTGATAACCTCCTTTTTCAAGTCGGTAATGATGAGGTATTTTTAGAGGTGAAATATAAATTTTTCAAAGCAATACATTTTTAAATTGAATGAATATGTTCAAGTGCGAAATTACAATTCTGATGATGAAAGTACTCTGGAACTTTTCGAAAAGAGGAAATGCGAAATGTATTGTGATTCGCAGGTTGTGGTAATTATCGATATATCATGGGCATAGGGCTACAGTGACCTTATGTGTTTTGGAAATTTTTGAATAACATTGTTAGATCGATTATATGTTGATGTACCTACCGAATCTCTCATAGAAACCATGAAAGGAAATTTTTGGATCAGCCATTTGTAAATATCCTCCAAGTCATAGTATATCGCCTTGTGCAGTAATCCTACGCCTGTTTCATCTTTGGCCATGACCATTCTTTTCTTTTTTTCAGGTTCTTCATTCAGGAGAGTTTTCAGTTCTTCTAGTCTACCACTGTTTACAGCATCGTGGAGTAGGGAGATTTTCGACTGAAAAAAAAGATAATTTTTTAACACATTTCCTACCGAAAGATTTTTGAAAACCTTCCAGTGAGAAATTAATATGTCAATCTTGTACTATTGACGATACGTATATCCAGTTATTAAAAAATATTTAATGCAGTTTTTTTTGGGTTTATAACCTTCCACAATCGACTTACATTCGATATTACTGAATCTAAGTTGATGAGACCAACAGGTCATTAAGATCTGAGCTTGAGTCTCCATTCATATAGAACAGTGGAGAATTGACCCTAGGTAGGCGTTTGTTCATTTGAGTTTCCAACGGGGAGGTTTTTGGGTTGTTTCATGCATGCCTACACAGCAGTTGATTCTCTGAATTCTACTGAATTTTTTCGGGTACAGAAAAATTTGTGACGCAGTTGCTCAATACCTGAGGACACCGACCTCTTCAAGTAATGAGCCTAGCTAATTGGAAAATGTCGGAGTAGGTTTTTTATGTGAAGCATATAAATGAGCTAAAAGTTTCAGTACCTCTATACATATCCATAGTTATCTTTAAAGGTCCTCAATATCTACTTACGTAAAAAAAGACCAAATAGCGTACTTTCAACAACATTTTAAAAGTAAGTTAGTTGTACCACATCAACTGCTGACGCAAAAACTTGAGAAATGATTTTTGTTGTAGATACATGGATAAAAAAAATCTAGATTAAATTTTGAAAATCACATACTTCTTGTTTCTTAATATTTTTCACATTCGTGAGTAGTTTACCCGCTCTATTTTATCTGAATTCATTCTAATCTTATTATGATCCAACTGTATTGGCTTGGACAACATATAGGGTGTTAATTAAGTATATACCATAAATTCAACAGACGATTCTTTAGGTAATTTTAAGACAAAATGTTCATATGAATATGGGTCCGCAAATCCTTCGTTCTCAAGATACAGGGTGTTAAAATAAAAATAAAAAAAAAAGTTATTCGTAAATATCCTAAATATCCTTTACCTAATTCTGTTGTGATTTGGCCATGGTATTTATAACATTAAGGAAATACAACTTTTTTGTCTCTTGAATTTTTTTCGTATCTTGCTTAGTTTTTAAGAAAAAAGTCGACCTAATTGCATATCCCTGGACCTCACAAGGAATAATATGTGGAATTAAAAAATGTTTCTTTTGGAAATTATTATTTTTACAATTTTTCATTACTAATTATGTAATAATCAAAACAAATATTGAATAAAATTAACATCTAGACTAACGAATTGCACTAAATCAAGTGTTGGAAATGGCCTCCTTCGGCTTCAATACAACCGTCTAGCATCATTGAATTTCGCACTCTTCTGAAAATACCATAAATAATAATCAAGGGTTGCCTTGGAAAACGATTGCAGCATTCAATAAACAACTTGACAGTTATTGTCAACTTTATAAGCTTTTAATTTATAATTGTTATAAAAAATGTGTAAAACATTGTTTTACAAAATTTTTGTAAAACATGGTTCAATTTACTAACAGTGAAATGGCAGATATGCATTTCTGTTATGGAATGGCTTACGGAAACTCGAATGCTGCAAGACGCAGTTACTATGAAAGATTTCCTCAGCGTGTAGTGCCTAATAGAAGAACTTTTGTACGTCTCCATGCACGACTTTCTGAAACAGGCAGCTTTAAAAGATCGACGGTTGTCATTGGTGTGCCTGCAACGGTACAAACAGTTCAAATTGAAGAAGCTTTTTTCAATGAGACTGAAGTAAATCCTCATACCAGTAATCGGAAAAAAGCTGAAGAACTGAATATCACCCATGTCCCAGTATGGCAGATTTTAAGAGCTCAGCAGCTATATCCCAATCACATGCAACGTGTGCAAGCTCTATTGGCCAGATATTTGCCTGTAAAACTAGCTTTTTGTAATTGGTTACGCGGTAAAATAAGAAGAAATCCAGTCGAATATTGTTTAAAGATGAAGTTTGTTTTTCTCGCATTTCAATTATTAACTTCCACAACAATCACATTTGTGCTGAATACAATCCACACGCCTTGATAGAAAATAATTTTCAAGAACAGTTTTCTTTTAATATTTGGTTTGGAATTGTCGGTGACCATCTCATTGGGCCTCACTTCCTTCCACCTAGACTTAATGGAGAAGAATACCGAAAGTTTTTAGAATTTGTTTTACCTGGACTTTCAGAAGAAATTCCAATCATGGAAAGATTCCGTATGTGCTGGTACATGCGCGATGGTGCTCCACCACACTTTAGTGTAGTGGTACGGCAATTTTTGGATGAAAATTAAAAATAATCGCTGGATTGGAAGAGTAGGCACACACCCATGGTCACCTCGCTCGCCCAAAATGAATCCCTTAGATTATTTTCTCTGGGGTATACAAAACTGCTATTCAAAGTGAAGAGGATTTACTGAATAAAATCATTGATTCATGTGACATAATAGAAAATACGCCAGGTATTTCCACAAGAGTGCGAAATTCAATGATTCGGCGGCTAGACGGTTGTATTGAAGCCGTAGGAGGCCATTTCCATCACTTCATTTAGTGCAATTCGTTAGTCTAGATGTTAATGTTATTTAATATTTGTTGTTATTATTACATAATTAATAATGAAAAATTGTAAAAATAATAATTTCCAAAAGAAACATTCAATTCCTCATTTATTCCTTGTGAGGTCCAGGGATATGCAAATCCAAAGAAATAATGGAAATTGCACAAAAGTCAGTGGCGTACATTTTTAAGTCCAAAATATTCGTTCAAATTCCGCTCGAGACGCCACTGGACTCAATAAATTGAATCACGTTCGGGCTAAATAAGCTCCTTGATGTAATAAATACCATTGCCAAATTACAACAAAATTAAGTTGGAGATATTTAAAATATTTACGAATAACTTTTTTTTATTTTAACACCCTGTATCTTGAGAACGAAGGATTTGCGGACCCATATTCATTTGAACATTTCGTCTTAAAATTACCTAAATTCCCCTTATTATCTTGAATAACACCCTGTATATGCAGCTTTTTGAACTTCCTCTTAAACCAGTGGTTCCTCTCTGTGGATGATCTCAGCTTGGTATCACTTGATGTTATGCTGATGCAGGGCCGGCCTGAGGGGTGTGCGAAGTATGCAGCCGCACACTCGAGCCTTTTGGAGGGGCATAATATTGTAAAAAAAGAATAAATTTGGGAAATTTTTGGAAATTGATTCAAAAAGGAACTTTGTCTCAAAACTATTACAGTTGAATTTCAAGGTAAAACTGAAGATCTACCCCAATGAGTTCTGTTCTGAAATACAGTAGTCTGATGTCCTTGACCAAGGTCAGTGGAGCAGTCGTCTGACGTGGGAAGGGTTGTGACGTGACTCAACTTCCTGCCCCCTTCCTCCGCTTTGTTTTTCTAGCCACCGATATGCGATTGTGTGTGACAGGTGCAGTAGTGGCTAGTGCGTTGAGTGACCCACCACGTTATTCACGTCTCGGCGTTTCGCGGGTTTGAATCTCTTTGCTTTTTTGCGTTTGTTGTGTTTAGTTTACGCTGTTAGCTTTTGGTATATTCACCAATCAAGCTTGCGTACGTGAGGACAGTTGAATTTTGTTTGTGAAACCTGTATGTATTATAAATTTTTGAACTATATAATTTATCTAAAACATAAGCTTTACTCCACGTTTTCGAGTGAGGCGCTCTGTAGGATATTTTTTTCAGTTGGAAATGTTTTCAAAGCCAAAGCCAAAACAACCGTCGGGTTGTCAAAACCGGAAAAGGAAGGCAATTGCAGAGAAAAACACCAAAGCAAGTTCTAAACTCTTATGCAGTTTCCTAAACAAACCAACCTCAACAATATAGAACATTTTGGGGGTGAACAAAGTAGACAACAACCCGAAAAGGAATGCCAAGTGGAACTAGGCGATGAAGGTAGTAGCAGTCCTTTTGAATTGCAAAAAAAACAAACAAGCCATGAACCCAACGATTCCTTTTCTTCTGAAGAAGAAAAAGAAGAAGAAGTAGACACCCCAAAGGACCATAAAGAACCGACTCTTTCTGATTCCGACAGCGACAACGACAAGTCCCAAGAAGAATCAGATATTTATGATGCTACTGAGTTGAATAGTTATTTTACGGACTTGGGTACTTGGCCTGATCATATAAGTAGTGCACAAAAACTGTGACCTTAAATGCCCCAGTAGGGGCATAAATGTGAGTCTTGCACACTTGCAACTTTCGCCTTAGGCCGGCCCTGTGCTGATGATTGATGTTAATGATTAATGTTCAAAATACACATAGGATTTACGTGCATTTCATCAATGAGAAAAATAATGAAACAGAAACAAATATGATGAAATCCATAGAGTATGAGTGTAAGTAACCAATGCATAACGAATTAATGGAAATATGAGTAATCCCAAACTATTGCAATTTATAAAATCAACTCTTTTCATTTATATATTGAGTTGAGGCAAATTATCATTACAACAAATCAATGTCAATTCGAAAAAATTTACTGATACACTGAAAATGTTATTGTAGGTACGTAGTTAATGTCCATTGTAGGTAATGAAGGCTTATGCGCCGAGAAATGATATGTCAATAATTCATGGAATGGAATATTTAACGGACACGACATAATCGCTCTACTGAAAGTTATAAATTGATTTTCTAATTTGTGGAAAATCGTGTTCAAAGGTTAATAGAAGGTAACTGCGTTTTACATTTCAATAAAGGGAAATATTGTAAACTGTCTTTTAAAACTTCCTTTGAGAATATCTCTATAACGATATATTCATTACTGATTAATTCGGCCGTTACTTGATGAAGATTCATAGTAATTTCATGAACTACACGTTATGATTTGATCTTCACAAAATTTATTTTCAAAAAATATATCATGACATTTTTCGCTATCACACTAGCTTGTTCGTAGTGAATTACTATAGCGATATCAAAACATTTCGTGATATATTTTTCGAAAATAAAGTTTCTAAAGATCAAATCATAAGGCGTAGTTAATGAAAAAAGATATTTATTAGTTGGGTCGTGAGTGCTCTTTTGTTTTCATTTCAGTTCTACTTCATTTATTATGTAGGGGAAATTTTTCAGAGAGAGAGAGAGGACATTGGCAGATCAAGATCTTCAGATGATGTGGTGCTGCAGGTTTTTCCTGCAGCTGAAAAGCAAATGCGCTACTGGAATCAATAAAGTTGCCCCGGAGCGCCAATTAATTTTTGTTGTTGTTTTATAATTTCATTATTTGTATGAATTATAATATTTGTACTATTTAATTTTTCAGCACAAAATATAACGGAAAAACAGATTTGTTTTAAACCGAAACAGATTAAAATACTTCAAAAGTTGACAACGTTAGATTTGACTACTTTTGAATCGGCAGAGAAAATCCAGAATTATATGAGAACAAAATTGATCTCAAATAAAGAAAAATAGGTTTATATCTACGAAAAAGAACTGTTTTCAGGAGAGTTTTTTTATGTTATTATTGAGAAGTATAAATCCAAAAGAATATTATATATCGAATATTCTGAATTGTGAAAGTGTGATTAAGGGTATCACGAAAAAAAGGACCAGGAAATGTTAATTTCGACATCCAGACCGACTTCTCTGGTTTGATCAATTATTTGAAAAATGTTGCTCTAGGCTGGAGGCGTTTTCTCCTGAAATGAGAAGAATACTTTCGGATAAACCACAATTTGAAACCTGATACAAGATCAAATTATGTGAAAGCTAGTCAAATATGATCAGAATACGCTGATATTTCCAAAGAGAAATTGACCAATTTATACCAATTCATTGTTAATGCCGTGACTCCATACAAATACTTTAACTCCAACAAGTTTGTGAAATTTCTTTTCCTAAGGATCTGAATATTATCGAAAAATAAATAATTGCTGAACCTGAACGCTACATCTCTTGAAAAACTTGAATATCTGAAAATTTCTTCAGTGCCATATTATTTGATCCTTGTAAGAATATTATCAAAAAATATATAATTGCTAAAGCTGAACACTACATCTCTTGAAAAACTTGAATATCTGAAAGTTTCTTCAGTACCATATTATTTGATCCTTACAAGATTGTCCCTTCCATGTACCTATAATTGTACACAAAAGAAATCACTATCATATGGAATTTTTTAACAAATTGAAAAATTTCAATCGATTAGAATCAAATATATTTCATAACTATAATTGATTGTTTTCAGCAACAAATAAGTAGATGCCGAATAAAATACATTTTCCGACTGAAATTGATTTTCTCTGGGGAAACCTTGATCGTGATCGCATTTATGCCGTGAGTAGTACAAATATTAATTCAAAAGTCACAAGTGGTGCAAATTAAGTGTAATACCTTACCATTAACGTTGGTATCGATTTCAAAAAAGTCCTCGTCTTGTAATCCGCCGAGTATTCTCCAATGAGCTTTCTACCTTGACCTTCAAGAACTGCCTGCTCTAGTTTGTCCACATCTCCGTTATGTATTAGTTGTTTTATGTAGGCCGAATTGAGCTGAAGCACTGAAATAAATGAAAAAATCTTGTAAGTATTATTTTCTTCATACGTTAACTTTAGAGTTGGGAAAAATTTCACATTCTGTATAGTGCATTTCAAATGGAAGGAGCCACCCTGGGTGCGTCAGTTGATATTAGAATTTATAAAATCGTGAAACAAGTCACTTTTGGTTTTTAGGAAGACACATTACTACGTAAACACCCACTCCTTTGTCAGCTACAACCTTCAACAGCTCTCAAATATTTATTCTACTGTGTCGTGGTATATACTGATCGATATAGAATTTTATACGCTATACATTGATGCTGTTGATTTTTTTCCAAATTATTTGCCTTTTCTCAGCCTATTACAGCTTATGATATTTGGCGAATTTTTCTCTAATAATTCAAATTGAACCAAAGCGCTGCCCAAACAGCCCAAAAATTTATCAGGCATTTGGCAATGATAGTGTTAATGAATGCACTATTCGACGTTGGTTTGCGAAATTTCGTTCCGGAGATTTTACCCTCGGAATTGAGCCCCGAAGTGATCGACCTACAGTAAACTAGGACGAGGATTTGAAAAGTCTGGTGGAGACTGACCCACCACACACGGTGCGTGAGATTAAAGAACTGAGCATCAGCTCCCATGGAGTTTTTGGCTCGAAGTGTGGGTGTCCCACGATTTGAACGATCGACAAAAAATATCACTTTTCGCAGTATGTTCGTCACCTGTGATAAAAACTGATCACTCTACCAAGACAGGAGATGTTCAGGACAGTGGCTGGACTTTCCAAAGACAAAAACCCGCCAAAAAATGCTATTGTTACTATATGGTGGTCAGTGCCTCTTGTGATTCATTATAACTTTCTGGATGGACCAATAGATTAATTCATCTCATCAATCGTTAACACACCATTCTGAGCGCGGTGACCACGTCAAAGTGCTGATATACGTTGGATTGAAGTCGTTGTAGAATTTAATATCTCTTCTTCATATGAAAAAGTTTATGTTTTAGTTTGAAGCCCACTTGTAATTAGTTGATGTATAACAGATAGAAAGGATTGCAGTCAACACATCTTTGATATACACTAGCGAGTATTTTGAAATATTCGAGAGAAAATAATTGATTTCAACCCTCAAGGAACGATGCAATGGTATCGGCTATTTATAGTTGTTTTGGATGTTGCATCTAGTAGGTCGTTCATACAAAGCAGTAGGAAGCTCGGGACAAAAATTAAACCTTAGGCCTCTGTAAGTGTTGACGGTAAATGAATCAGATATTACTCCTCTAATTGCAATATATTAAAATATACAGAAAAAGACCTACTAAAACAATAACTGGTACAATTCGGTGTTAGACCGTAGACAGAAAGTTATACTGGAAGTATTTTATACAACACGATGTTTCATATTTCTCAATAGAGCTGAGTTATATATACAATATCTGACCTACACATCTTTGTGAAAAGTTCATTTTCCTTTTTTTAAGATAACCACATTTTTTGTATGAAGATGGAGAAGTAGAAAGCCAAAACCATTCTTTACCAAAAATTAGTCTCTCCTAAAATATACTCTTTTCATCAAAGTGTGAAATTTTTGGCAGTTGTCAAGTCTGAGGTGTGTATTCATGTTGGCGAGCTATTTTAATTGAAGAATGTCCACAGGGAAGTATACCACTCATTTTCGAAAAGAGGGAGGTAACAATAACTTGTGTATTGAAACACGCTAATGCAGGTACTCTGTTGAGACGACCCTTAGAACATTTTCGCAAATTTTGTCTAGTCACAGCTGTAAGATTTGATTCTAAGAAAACCGTGTACTACAAAAAAAGTCCAAGTAACTGAGGAGTCAGTGAGACACAAATGGCAAGAATATTCAAATGTACTTCAGTATTTGAAAGAGATTGATCTTGGAGAGAATATAGATAGTCAACAATGACTTTTTGTATCGCTAATAAAGTAGACCAGATAGAGAAACTATCATTTACTAATTAGTCGTACTGAAAGCTCACACCAAGTATTCTTGAAATCTGGTTAAATTTAAGACATTTTCTTTTGTATCAACTGTCGTCAAATTGTAGAAAAATCGGATAAGAATATGTACTCAACCTAAAGATTGGCATCAGAGCAATATACATGACACAGTGCCTTAGAGCGTTTCATACAAGTCGCCCATCGAGTTCCAGACCAGTACCTAGTGATAGCAAGATTGAGCAATACCTTTATAGGGAACCATTCCAAACCATTGTAGATAGCAATAATAGTGGTAGCAAAAATGGTTTACGTAAGTAACAATACAATCTCCAACCAGTAACTGTCGATGTTTGTTTCAGAAAGGTGATATGTGGTGACACTGACTCTTCTATATTACCGAAGGGTTCGGTATATGTTCATCGATTTCGATCGATGAAAATGAAACTTCAGTATGACCGATTTATATTCATTGTAATCGATTCAATAGATCTAATCCATTCAAGCGCTGTGAAACTCTCTAAATGTTATCTGGTCATCAACTGCTTCATCGTTTAATGCATTGAAGAAAAAATCACTAGAAATTTCAGATAAATATGTTTTAAATAATGTAATGTGTATTATTAAGGAAAATGAGCGTCCTTGTATGAGAATCCTCGGTGAAAACTCGATATTAATTACCTATAAGAAAATACTAAATTTCCAAGACAGGAATATGTGCTTACTGAGTTATTAGCTTATCGCGTGACTGGAGGCGGTGGAATACTTCACAAAAGAAAACAATTGAAATAGAAGGATCTAAATTATGATAGACATGAACTATCACTGTTTATTCAGAGGTTCTTCGTTAACGGTATTTTTTATTGGATTGCACATATTCTAATTTATGTATGCCCTCGATATATTTGATGATATAGTATTATTTTGAAGTTCTATTCTAAACTGTCTATATCTGGTGCCAAAAAAATATATCTACAGCCAATATCAAGTAGAAAAATGAATAAATATCACTTTAAAAAAAAATCGGCAGAATTCTCTTATACTGGGCAAACTGTTACATGAATATATGACTATATATTTATTGTAGATTCATTTATAAGTGATGAGTATAACGTGACACCTCATATCGAAAAGTCTGCATACAGTCTTATAACGTTATGCAAAAAGGAAGTACAATTCGCAAAAATGTCATTTCAGGTTATTTAGATTTATAGTTATGGTTATAAATTAACTTGCAGTGTTTTCAAATGAGAGGAGACCTGAAAAATATAATATCTATTATAATAATAATAATATAAATATACAAAACTCTTTCACATGTAGATCATTCTTAGTCATGATTGTTGTTTCAAAGTTACCATTTAATTGAAATGTTTTCATGTTGATTTAAAAAAAGTTATTTTGCAAAATTGTTTTTTCAAACATCAATTTTGAATGAAAATATCTCTGACTTCATGGAAATAGATTATTTTTGAAGATAACTAGGCTTCTAGTTTGAAAATTTAGATTATATCCACTCAATTTTATCAATATATTGTCTGACCAAGATAATGAGGACCATTATGAAAAAATCGAAACCCATGTTAGACACAAAATTGTTTAGATTAGGAAAAAGTTACACATTTTGAAGTTCACTTGAATGGCGAAAGAAGCGAAATTTTCCAACTCCGTTTCAATATGTTTGTGACATCATTCTAGGAAATATTGAGAAACAAAAACACATCTTGCAATTGTCCATTTTCCAGCTATACAAAATGGATTTTCAATCCGACGTTTCGTCGTCGAGAAACCTTCAAAAACTCTACTTAAAAAAATAATAATGAAAAAACTGCCACTTATATATTACACTTTTTGTCATCACACTTAATCGGATTTTTATAAATTTCTCCAAATAAATGGCTCCAAAGCTCTTTTTTCCAATTCAACCTAATTTATATTTTTTACATCTCCATATCTGGAACACACCGTATAATAACTTGAAATTCAAAGAAAGATCAAAGAAATGAACTTAGAGTCACATGAAACTTTTCTGATCATTAAAAGCATCCATTAGGAAAGTTCTTCATGAAATTAATGTAACTCAAATATATAAAAATTTCAGGCCTAACTTTTGGATTCACCAAGATGACTGTCAGAAATCCATAATATTCTATTTCGTAAATGCATACATTTTATATAATAATTATAAATTGTGTCTTGTTCATTTTCATGTTATGGTATCAGATAGCCGGTTAGTTATCGGGAGTGGTTCGTTTTAGTCTGTCGATCCACATATATGTGAACGATCATGAGGGGACGACTGCTGGTTGATAGAAAAACAAATTCATATAAGAAAATTAAGGAAATAACGGCAATTTTTCCAGTTTCCATACCAGTTTCGAACATTTGATTTTCCCTGTAATGATCATGGGATATAATTTGAAATCCTGAAACTCTCAGGTATAATTTTTACTTTCCTCCTCTGCGAATGATGCTCTTGACTTTTTGATAATAATACATTTAACGTTAGAGTAACAGAGGTAACCATCGTAACATTGCTTTAGATTTAAAAACTAGATACGACCCTGGCAGGCTCGCTTCACCATAAAATATGGTCAAGCTAGAGTCCAAACAAGCTGTGTATTTTAGGAAGATTTCTTCAGTATCCTTATTTTCTACATTTCACTATTTCCATCATCCTCTGCGCTCAGAAAAACTCATGGGTACAATTCTGGTACCCTCGGAAACGGAGTCATAAGGTCACCAATTTATTCTATATAGATTTCCTTAAACTCAAAGCCTCTGGAGGAAAGGATTTCCATCAGCCCTTGAGCTGGTGTAAGAGTAGATCCTTGCTAACCATATGGAATTTAGGTTAGAAAAATGTTCAACAGTCCATCTCAAAAAAGAACGATTAGAAAGGAGACGTACAGTTCGTAGATGGAAGCATCCAGTATCCAAATGGTACAGTATCCATTTGGATGAAAGAGAGACTTATACTTACCCTGCAGTGATACAACGCCACTCGTTAGAGGTGGCCTCAGTGAAGATCTCTTTTCGCTTTGAGTATCAGTATGACAGATGTGGTCAATTATCGCGCAAAAACGAAGTTGCTGGTACTGATATGCTTGCCTTTCCGATCGTAAACTACTTATTTGGAATAGTGAAGTGGACTCGGGAGAAGCTGTATCAACTCGAGGTAAAGACCCTGAAACTGGTGCATTTCCATAGAGGTTTACATCCAAAATCGTCTGTTCCACGGACAACACGTCTCGCGACAATAGGAAGGCTGTGAATTTGGGAAGTTTACATGACAAAATGGTACTGGATAGATCCTGTAAAGTCATCAGGAGTTCGGATCCCCCTCTTTGCATAGTTCATGAGAAAATAGAAATTAGAGTATTTCTCTCCAGACAAATGTCTGATGGCTGATAAACCTGCTTTGGTTGAATCCAGCACCCAAAAACCAAGCGTTAGTAGTGTAACACCGGACAGCGCTGATTTGACCAGCCAAAATGGTGGTGCTAGGCTGAATCATAATGCATTGCTGAACTGAACTGTCGTTAAAGAACAAGCATGAGTAAGTACAGGTTCTGGCTTTTCCGCTCACGAATATGTCACCTATGAGATCGACAGAAAGCTCAATCCTCGAATATCAATGATAATCGAGGATCTCTATGGCTTCAAAATAGTTAGGGAACGATGCACTACTATGAAGTTTAGAATACGTTATTTTGGCATGTAATAGGTAGCAGAGCTATGAAAACCCCTCTCCGGTGTTGAACTTTAATGAATTGTTCAACTCGCATTTCACTGGGAAAGAGTTTATATATGCTATTTTTGTTACTGTAAGGTGTTTCCTCAGTTACCGGATAGTTTTAATAGCAGAGGCAGATCTATACTTACCTCTTATAAATACCTACCAAAATAACTTGTATGAAATTCAGCTTTTATATTACGACTTGAGTATAGTTACAGTTTACTAAAGAATGAATATATCTGGAGAAGGATTTCCACAGCTAACTGCTATCGAAGCTACTACGATCCAAACTTGGTATTGCCATCATTCTCTACCTACGTTGTGACCATGCGCTGAGAAATGTTCAGCTTTCATAAAATAACAAAGGCCTGACATTCATGGACACTCATAATGTTCAATTACAAATGTATCTTACAACAATGAGAAAAGTCGGAATGCAGTGCAGTATTCTTGAGAAAGTTGAATCTATACATCAAAATAATGGTTTTGTATGCATTGTCTTATTTTTCGAAGAATCAACTTTAGTATGAACAATTTTATTGTGCCTATTCAGGACACAATAAATTATTGGACACAATTATTAGACAATAGAAGCTCAAACCCAATATTCTCAAACAGTGAATATGTGATCTGGGATTATCATGAAAAACATGTCCATACTACAATAGAACCTCACCCAGCATAAATATACATACCTCTAGGAGGGCTTGAGTGAATGTAAAGCCCGTTGATGACCTTATTATCTCCCTGCGCCCTTTTTCTCAATACCGGCATTTTGATAACGTCAGCATAATCTCTCTAAGTTTATGTAATGATTAGTCCTATCGTCCATCCAAGTAAGAGGTCAGATTGATGGATTGATAATGTGCATATGTAGATGTATCAAACTAGAAGGAAATTTACTTTTACTATATGGAGCTTTCAGATAGCCTTGGATTGGAAATATTCAAGAAAATAGGAGTATAGGAAATTTAGAGGGAAAATTTGTTTTCTGTGTTTTCCTTATTCCCAATTACGAATATCAGTGAGATATGAAATTGGATACCTATATAGGGTGTTTCATATTCGATCCTCACCATTGGGATCTCGGAAACTATGGGAGATACGAAGATGGATAAATTAGGGCAAAGTTGCGGATTTACCTGACGTATAATATGCCGTTAATTCACGTAGGTTCATTCAGTATTGTGTTATAAAATTTGGAATATGGTAAAGCCCAATCAATATCTGTTATTTCATTAAATTCATTAGCTAACATCAACATGGTTGCGAGAGGTGCTCTAGTTGTAGATATTGACATAGAAATATTAAACATAGTTGTATGTCGAGTAAGGCGCGAAGGAACATGAAACGGAATCAAGCCTAGGATTTCAGGGGAATCAATACGATTATTGATTATTTTATATATGAATATTAGGGATGATCTAATATTTTGAATTCGTTTCTTAATCGAGCTGTTCGTATTGAATTGTAATCAGGCCATTGATGATATTTTTCAAAGTAAAGATATTGAAGAAATTTGTTTTGAACCTTTCGATTTCTTTTAAAGTAGTTAGCCAAAAGTAGATCATCCAAATAGTCTTAGAAAATCGACATTAAAAACTGCTGATAGGTTTCCCCATTCAGAATGCCGACAAATAAATGAGAACCCAACAGTCTATCTTTGTAAATTCCTACCCGCACATTAATACTAAATCGAATATCTCGGAACTGCCTGGGGTTGTTTATGCTCCAAATGTGTTCGTTATTTCGGTTGAATATCCCACAATTCGTAAAAGTGCTTTCATCTGCGCAAATTACATTTTCCAGGAAAACAGGGAAATCAGGTCTTCTTATAAGCCAATTACAAAATTCGAATCGCCTTTCAGGATCATCTGGATGTAATTTTTGAGATATGTGTATTTTGTAACATTTTAAACCGCTTTTGTGATGTCTCCAAGCACTTCTATGATAAATACTCATTTCGGAGAAAATTTAACGTGTAGATTTCCCCGGGTTCATGTTTATCTGCAAATTATTGATTTTTATTGAAAAGGACACGATGTCTAACTTACCTCATTTATCACATTTTCTTTAGTTTCCGAGTACATTCTGTCTTCGTATTTTTTTCTCGGCTTCTCAAATCAACCAAACTCGAACATAGTTCGATGTAGTTGTCGTCTTTCGGGATACAAGTTTAAATACATTTCCGATGTCCTAACACTGTTTCTATCGTATTTGTAATGAATTTATATCATATCTCTTTTTAATTCATTCGTGAAACCCATTTTTGGCAAAAAATTCAATAATTTGTACAATAACGAAATGTCATTGTGTGTAACAAATTGAAAGTCAAATTTAGAAACATCAAAGTCAAAGCCTATTATGATAAGAATTACTTTATTTCAATATCTCCAATTTTTCGAAAAAGAATGATATCTTATGATACATCATTGAAAAGGTGAAATCTGGTTCTATCCTAAACAGAAAGAATCCAATGTAGCACCCAAAAAAAATATAAAATTGAGTATGGTGGCCGGAAGACGAAACGTCGGATAGCAAATCTGTAAACACCATTATGCAGCAGAGAAAAAGTGGCATATTGTACGTCATATTGTACGTCAGGTAAATCCGCAACTTTTCCCTAATTTAACCATCTTCGTATATCTTTCATAGTTTCCGAGATCTCAATGGTTAGGATCAAATTTAAAACACCCTGTATATAGATATTTTTCCAGAATAAATTCATCCAAATGATTTCACAACATATTTTAAATTGAAATATGATAGTCATGAAAATTATTTGAAGTGTAATTATTGAACAACAACTATAAAAATAAAAACAACAATAAAAATCGATTGGCGCTCCGGAGCGACTTCATTGATTCCAGTGGCGCATTTGCTTTATCAGCAAATTATTATTTTATTATTTTGACGATTGAGGACACATGAATTCCTTGATATCGAATCGAAAGGGTGGTCTTATTAAACCAACTCTTTCTTCTGACGATAATTTAGAAAGCTGGCCTGATTATTTCATTCTGTGGAGTACAGACGAAAAAAATCCTCTCCCTTCCCCAACTTTCCAACGAGACAATAAGCCAGAATTTACGTATAAAAGTATCATTGACAAGAAAGACCTGTCTCCGAGAGAGCACTTATTTTTATTTTTGGAAATTGCGCCAATCGTTCCTAGGCAGGGCCGTCGCCATAGGGAGGGATGGGGAGAGCATTCCCCCCTTGCTTTTTCGACTTTGGAAAAAGTTGGTAAAAAGTTGGGAAGTGAAGAAAATGAATAAGAATTTTAAAAAATATGAGAGAAAAGAAAGGGAAAGAACAAGGTTGGGATTTCCCAACATGCATAACTTGGAGATCCCATACTTTGAAATTCTGAGTCGTTTGAAAACTTCAAAAAAGTTTAATTTCTCCCAAGTAAGAGAACAGTTGAACAGTCCACAAATTTTGAAATGACAATTTTACAAAATTCCCAACTTTTCGGTGTTTATTCGACTTGGAAAAGTTGGGAAATTTCGGGCCGTGAAGATAGAAAAAATAATAGTAGAAAACAATAAGCACAATATTATTCAAGTGTTGTTTCCTTTCATTTGTATTGAATATTTCTATACATGGTGGATATGAAAGCATAGTAATTACATTTGGATAGGTTTAACACCTATTTTTCTGTTGAGAACCCAAGCATAGACTTACATTGATCAACCAAAAGAATATTGTCGAACAAAACAATTTTCCAAGGACTAATGGAATGAGAAGATGATAAAATCAAATTTCGTTTATTTTGACCATCATTTTTTCGACATAAAATTACAAGTTATGAAATACCTCAATTTTTTCAGAAAGCTACTCTTTTCACTGTCAATGTTCATTCATTGGGTTGAATAGACAGTTTGAAAAATCAGAGTTTTCAGCAATTGGCCAATGGCGTGTTGGTACGCCACTAGTAGAGCACTGGGTCAAATGCACCTGAAGAAACTTTCGCCAGCTACTAATCGATCGGAGAAGTTCCAATCATTCATTTGATTTACGGGAGCCAAAACGAAAAGAGACTTTTTGTTCTGAAATTTCAACGCCCGGTATATCCGGAATGACTCACGGTATTTATTGTGACCAATGAATAAAAAATATGTATCTGCAATTGTATTACTTTTTTCAAACACATTTGTCACACGATAAATACAATTTTTGTCAATCCTGGAGTCGAAGTTTTTTTAAATTATAAACTGTAACTCCGTATTTATAAACATTGAAAATGTATTTATTTTTTCGACTGTTATTGATGATTTTTGGAATATAATTCACTTTCTTCCACCTTTTTTCCATGTTCATTTCATTTTTCCAACAATTCAAATATCAATGGTGCATTCTACAGACCATATAGAGTTAACGAACTGAAGATATTCAAAAAAATATTTGTATCACAGTATTATAGATTTTTAGTGTGATTGAAATGATAATTTGATAATATTGAAATGCTGACACAGTTCGAAAAGAGAATAAAAATATAAAGAATATACTAAATGATATCTCATCATTATTGAATTTTCACCTAGTAAATACAGATATTGGCTTTTTTTGTTTCTCACTTTTTGAAATTCAATATTTATTGAAAATCACCAGGAAATAATTAAGTATCCACACCTCTATTGGTTGAAAGAACCAGACTGAAACAAAAGACGCTCTCAAATCCCATGGAAAGTGGAATGTACATTGAGAGTGTTGGTATTACTGATCTACAATTAGTAATCGAACTGTAACCAAGTCAAGGAGCTAACACAAAACGCAGATAATAAATACGGGAACATTCAAGATAAAGAAAAAATCAATTATTGGAGAAAAAATTTCAAATTAGTTTCAAGCTCATCCACGTAAATAATTATTTCAATGAAGTGACATTGGGTGTAGAATGGGGAAAATTATTTTCGAAATGATAATTATTTTGAAATGATAAATTATGCAATCAGATAAACAGTAAAATAGAATACAAATCCCATGGAAAGTGGAATGTACATTGAGAGTGTTGGTATTACTGATCTACAATTAGTAATCGAACTGTAACCAAGTCAAGGAGCTAACACAAAACGCAGATAATAAATAAGGGAACATTCAAGATAAAGAAAAAATCAATTATTGGAGAAAAAATTTCAAATTAGTTTCAAGCTCATCCACGTAAATAATTATTTCAATGAAGTGACATTGGGTGTAGAATGGGGAAAATTATTTTCGAAATGATAATTATTTTGAAATGATAAATTATGCAATCAGATCAACAGTAAAATAGAATATATTCAATTCAATATCACACATCATTCATGAATTGAATTCCTTTGATATTTCTTCTGAAAAAATCGATTCAATTATTTGAGTCAATTCAAAAATTTCAAATAATATTCGTTTTGAACTTGTATGTGATCAAAATATCAATCCCGTTCTTTATTATTCATTACTAGCGAACCGCCTAACATAAATCAACTTTCTACAGGTGACAGAGTTTTTGAAATCATCAAGTACTAATAGAGTTTGCTATTAACAAATAAACACACAAAAACTCTTTTCTTTTTCTATGATATTAGTTAACATATTCAAAAGATTCACTGTTTATAGCAGATATTCCAATAAAAATATGAATAACAATTTTTTTTGTTGAAGCATCAAATAGGCATCAGTACTAGTTGATAATCAACAACGCAATCCAGATAAAATGAAAGATCAATTCCAATTTGGAACTGTGAAAAAATCAATTTCACCTATTTCAATCGACTTCTCACCCTGTGTACTCAAAAATTTCCCATACTCCAAACCGCAATGAAAATTTAATAAAAGTATGAACTCACTAGCTCTAACTTCCTCTTCACTGTCCAACTGGAAGAATAAACGTCAAACAATATTTAATATTCAATATCCGATCGATGAAAACTTTTGTTGTGAAGTCAACATCGTGTCACCAATCAACCGACTTGAACCTCGTAGGTAGAGCTGTCCGAATAGAATTGACCAATACGCAACTGATGCCACGTAAATTCAAACTTCATGGCCTGCGATGTGCAACTCAAAGTGTACAAGCGCGATAAAAGCTCTTTGGAATGTAAATGGAAACTGTAGTAGGGGGTTGATTATTTATTTCTCAGTTATCTTCGCTTGGTCTTTTTGGTATCGTCATGTGAAAATTAGGTTAGTTCACGCGATTCTTTGTCGAGATATAGTTATTACTGAATGACTTATTCGAATTCACCCACCACTTGCCTGATAGTATATTAGACGAGCCCTTCACTAAGTATATATGCTTTGTATACAATTTTTCTGATATGGTAAAAGATTAGAATGCAATGTACCTTGACAAATGACCATGACGGTGCATTTTTAACAAAACCGATATCAAATTTTGTATAGAACCTGAGAATGAATAGATGAAAATAAAGGAAAAAAATAATCTTATTTTCAATTTGAAGTAAATTTTGATAAACCTTACACATTATTCCTAGACAAAACGGAACATCTCATAAACTCCATCTTTTTTGAGACTTTCTGGAAATCAATGGTGTTACCGAGATCTCAATTAGGGAAGCATATATACATGGCGCTCCGGCAGAAACATATCTTTTCCTATACGTCAGAAACGGACGTGTGTTTCTGAATTTCGAAAATCTGGACAATTTTTGCTTCCAGTGGGTTCAGTTTTGTTACAAAAAGCATAACAGAAACTTCACACAGGCAGAGGCTACTCCTTATATATTTTCTTGAATAGTATGGGGGTCAAGTGAGAGGTCTCCTATTCCTTAATCACTTCTGTAATTTCTGTAATCAATTGAATTGTTATTATATATGATGGAACTGGTCGATACTTAATGAAAGAAAAACTTCAATGTTCAACATAAATGTACACAAAGACATGTTATTGAAACTAGGAAAATCAGGAAATATGGATTTTTGCGTCATAAAGAAACTGAGGCAAGTACAAAAATATGTAGATCCTACATTCAACCTTATGCGCTATATCACTTGATTTCTCATCGTTGTATTCAATTTTTTTATGTCTAACATAGAAAGTTTTCACTAACATTCCTTTAAATCATCAGACCAAAACCTGTCATTGGCATAGTTTTCGGCTTTGCCAAACAAAGATTGAATATCTGGATGGAAAGAATATTATGGACTTCTGGCAGAATCTTCCAGCATTCACCCTTCGAAGCTTGATACCAAACAGTTGTTGGACTACAGTAGGGATGAAGTACGATATCTAACAGACCTTCTTACAGGGCACTTTCATTTGAATCATCATACGCAGAGACTCGGACCGTCGGATTACAGTGTGTGTCGCCTTTGTTTGGAAAATGATGAAACAGCAGAGTACATACCTCGTGGGTCAAATAGAACCACTCACTTTGGACCTGACCTAACCGAACCTATAAATCAAAAAAGTATTGTTGAGAAATGCTGATTGCTGTTCAACGAGGAATATATATTTCATCAGTTAGGACTTTCATTGCCTAATATGATTTTACTATGATTGGAAATCTATCAAAGAACAAATAAAATCAGAATAAATAGCTGAAATATCAATCACATTCAGCAATAAAACGTAATGCAAAATAAAATGACCACAGAGTAAAAATAAATTAAAAACAATAAAAATAAAAGTGGGCAGAAAATTAATAAAAAGATTTCAAACAAGTTACTTCACAACGTCTTCGTTATTCAAACACTGGTGAATAATTTCAATACTCCTACGTTTTCCAAAGCCCAACCGAGTTTATTCAGAAAGAGTAGGGTAATTTCACTCATCCCTGACCCAAATATGAAAGATAATAAAAGTAACCCTAAACACACCCTCGATATGGGCATAGACCAGAGAAATAGCGACGGTCAGTCGGCAGGGGGCGAGTCGAAGCCACATAATGGGGACGAAACGCAGCCCTGCAGATCGGCCAAAACGGCAACAGGTGTTTATGAAAGCGAAAGTGGAATAGAAAATGCTGATGTTTCAAACAAGATGCAGCCCCCAATCATTACTGTGAAGGCGTATATCCAACCTGAACCCCTACCACTACCTCCAACATACCACTAATGGAAAGCGAAAAGCCCATCAGGGAACAGAAACCAAGGATCGGTGAGAACGAGGGTGTATTTTTACCAGAATTATTCGAAATGATTAACAACATGGAAAAGTATGCGTATGAAACTACGGTTTTAAACAAAAATAAGCTCTCGGAAAGAGCGAACAAGAAAAACTTCTTCCGGAAAGAAACAATAACATAACAGGAACAGCTATAACTTCGAGTGACGAAGAGACCGACTCAACACCCAGAAAAATATAAAGAGGGAGAACGGGAAGGCCTTCTTAGTCCTCCATCATAACGCCAACTATTTGCGAAATTCCTTCCAAATCCTATTTTGAGTTAGAAAGGAAAATTGAACAGATAAAGAATAAAACAATGGCAAATGTCAATGAGAAAGTAAAAAGCTATCTCAACGATAAAATTGATTTTGACTCCTCCCTGAAAGACTTTCCCCTTGCAATCATGAGGGAAGCACAGAAGAGGATTGAGAGGCTGGAGAAGGCAGTAGCGCTATTCAAACCGCCCGAAAAGACCCAAAGAGGAAAACTCAATCATCAGAGGCCAGAAAAGACAATAAAAGGAATAAGATGCAGGACTTCCCCCTCTTAACCCACACAAGATGAATTTGTGATCCCCAAGAGGGTCGCGAGGAAAACTCAGCCTGTGGAAAAATTCATCACTAGCAAGAGCAATAGATTTCAATCAATGATAAAGAAAGCTAAAGCAGAATTTCACACGTACACCCTTCTGGAGGCAACACCCATGCTTTTGTCTTCAGAGGGTTGGACTTTGCTCCTGAAATTGAGGAGGTTGAGGGTGATCTCCGTACTGAGGGCATGCTCGACGTGGCGGTCGTGTATAGGTTAAGGACTGAGAGACGTCCAATATGCAGGGTCGTAATGAATAGGTATATCACCCTCAATTTTCTCAAGTGTGATGTTCCATCTGTCATATATACTAGGGTCAGATAGGAGCTTTGCACCAGCTCCCAAGAACAACCCCTGGGAGCGCAAGAGAATTCAGCCGGTCCCAGGATCACCACCGCTGCCTCCATCACCTCACGTACAAGGAGAACGAGCAAGGAAACCCACGATGGGGGCTCAGCAGAGCCGTATGGAGGCAAATAATTGCTTCCGCAGGCTTAATGAGATTGTCAACTTAAGCGGGATCACTCGTGCCACGAATCGATGGGGCAAAACGCAGTTTCAAAACACCCTGTATTTTAGAATAGTTTTGAAATGCCGAAATGATTTTGACTCATTTGCATATCAAAAATTAATAATTCACGAGATTTTCAAGTTTTTCTTGAAAAAATTATACATGTGCATGACCACTATAAAACTACGGGCTATGATACCTTCATTTCGAACAGTAACATGTAGTTTATTAGAGTTATCAATTTGCTGGTATGGTTTCCATTGAAGACAGGATTCCAAATGAATAAATAGGCAACCAATTTATAAACGACTCGAATTATTACAGAAAAATATGTGAAAACTTTGAACAAAGGATCTTTACAAAGTTGTAGAGAGCTGTTGGAATGGATTTTGTATAAAGTGCTTCAACTTTTCTGTGTGTTATGTGAAGATGGTAGGTAAAACACAATAAGTCCATGGGTTATCAGTATTTTCCTCAGATTTGGAAAAAATAGCAATTTAGAACACTCCCAAATAGCAGAAAAAAGTGCCTGGGGGAATATTTACATCAATTTTCAGCTGCCTCGTATTCGTCATATCTGTCTAATTCAACCAATCATCCATCTGGGATGTGCTGACAGACCTTTGTTATATCTACGTAAAAATACATTCGTGTGTTATTCATCCCAGACGAGCTGACAGGCGTGCTCTGCTCCAAAAACAGTTTGAGACACGTACGCCTAGAGAAAGGCATAGGAAAAATCTTCGGAACTATTATCGCCGGGCAAAAAATCGAAGGAAACTAAATAATTTTACACCTCCAATCACGCGATCGTTCGCCAACACGTCCTGACGAGGCAGTGTTGCCAGCTCGATCGAAAAGCGAGACACATATAGGGTCTGTCATTAAGGGTTTTCTATCTTTGAATGAAACAAAGTGTCTGTGAGATATAATCGAAACTTTTCATTCGTTTGGAAGACCTGTTGATGCCATTGTATGTGTTATATAACGCATCACTCAGTCTCGATCAACAGTGACTTCTTCAGGATACATTGCACGCTCTTGGATCTCATGTGGATTGATATCGTCTTAAGACGGGTGTCTAAAAGTTCTGTCTGTTTTCGAGTTTATTTATTTATTCATTTGATCCATACAAACTTATTAGTTTTATTACATGGATTCTTATTATTAAAATTATAGATAATGTGAATGTAACTTGGAAAATATGTGTTTTATTTACATAAATACTAAATGCTATCAGAACTGTTTGTTGGGTTACAGATTCAGGTAGATTCACTTTCAGGAAGATATATTCAGTATATTATTCAGCATTGTGTTATACATTTTGGAATGTGGTAGAGACCAATCAATATCTGCGTTATTTCAATAAATTCATTAGCTAACATCAACATGGTTGTGATAAGTGCTCTAGTTGTAGATATTGACGTAAAAATAATAAACATAGTTGTATGTCGAGTAAGGCGCGAAAAAACATGAAACGGAATCAAGCCTAGGATTTCAAGGGAATCAATACGATTATTGATTATTTTATATATGAATATCAGTGATGATAAATTGCGTCTTTGATCTAATGATAACAGGTTGAATTCGTTTCGTAATCAGGCCATTTATGATATTTTTTAAAGTAAAGATATCGAAAACATTTGTTTTGAACCTTTTCGATTTCTTTTAAAGTAGTTTTGTATTCTCCTGTTGAAATTATTGAAGCAAACTCCAGTTTCGGTCTAACTGGAGCATAATAGAGTAATTTGAGTGTATTTATGTTGATGTG